TCTTATCCATGTCAGCAAAACCTGCTTTTTCGTTTTTATTGTAAACAGTGAATCTTCAACGTGAGTGGATGAATGGCAGTACAAGTGTATCAGAGATATAGTAACAATCGTTCTTGGTACCATTTGCGCCACTATATTTTCTATATTAAATCATTTTATTTTCAAAATAATGGGTGCCTTCCGCTCTTTATTAATTCTAATTTCTTCTAGTTTGAAATTTTAATTTCCATTTACTTAGGAACAGATACTAATTCTAATGAACAATTCTAATTCTTATGAACAAATATTTTCAAGGTTTTTATTTATCAAAATTATGTTATTTTAATAACAGAGATTAGGTTAGGTTAGATTAGGTTAGAGATTAAGCCCATTTGAGTTCAAATTATGACCAGTTGTGTTCCCACAGATTAGCGTTGTTCATACGCATACGCTGAGCGTTCGAGCAACACCATAAAACACGACTCAACCATGCAAGTGAAATTGAACTAATTTGACAAGCCTATAAACCTGTTTAAATTCCCAATTTTGCACAATGACAACTCTGTCAGGTGCATAAAAAAAGGTGCCTGATGTATATACATCCTAATCAATGATGAACACTGACACATTAGGTGGGATATAGTTTCCTTCTTATCTGCAGAGCCATAACCACGATGAAAGTCATTATAGGGTAGACGTAGTCTCATAGCATGTCTTCCTTGTATGCAGTGACCAATCAGCATCGATACAGTAGTACTGAACAGGTTAAGCCAAAATTGAAACAGCTGTGTGGTACGTTTCCTGTTCAGTTTTTACCAAGTCGATCTTGAGAACTGGCAAAAGGGTTGTTCATCTGTTTAATTTTGTTTATCAATGCTTAGATAAGGAGAAATAGAAAACTTATTTAAAAAGTCCAAATATATAATGTAAAATCTGAATATATATTTTCTTAATCTTTGTACTTAGTGTGTTTAGTGTCTGTTTCCTCTAATGGGGCGTAGGGCTCCAACGCTTCTCTTAAACCGCACTCTGTTAGGTGCTTCTCTGCATATATCGTTCTATGTATAATGCGCTACTGTCATTTCTCTTTCAATAGTCTTTCTCCAAGTTAAAGCCGGTGCACCAGGGCGTCTTCTACCTTGTGGGTTCCACGTTTAAGCTTGTCGTGGAATGTATTTACTTGGTCGTCGAATAGTATCCCTATTCAATTCCATTTCCGCATTTTTATTTCGTTCACAGGAACTTTCTGATTTGTTTGGAGCAAAAGTTCTGTATTGGATATGTGGTTAGACCACCATATTTTCATAATAACTATATATATATAGATTAAATTAAAATTCTAGTTAATTGTCTTTGTTAGTATTTTTAATTTTTTTTTTCGTCTATCGAAATTATTTATTTTATTTTAATCGCAATTGTTATACGAGTAGAATACAAAAAACGTGCACTACGTTTTACGAAATTAACTTGTAAATCTGAAAAAAAGAATGGTATATCAAAAATCAATCATTTGTATACCGTTGTGTGCCACCATACATAACATTCGCGTCAATATAAAGAAGACCAGTGACACACATTTCAGTAATTTTAAGTCACATGTCGCAAATGCGCCACTTCTAAATGCATGCATGCAGTGCCATTCAGTTTTAGTCGCCAGTTCCAGTGCGTTCATATTTGGATGCAGTCAGTCATTCACTGTTATGCAAATAAAATTAAAATACCAACAAAAAAGATTAAAATTGAAAGAAATTGTATACTAACAGAGAGAGTGTTGACAAATTGCACATGGACGATGCTCAATATTCCTACCTAATGTCTGTTAGTATTTTTTTTTATTATATTCTCTGTACACTTATTTGTTTTTCTACGGTGGTCGGTGGTCATTTCACTTGTCGGAAAATTGTTTTCCATATCCACATGCAAATGCGTCGCTAAACGTCTCTGACAGCGTTTGTGACATCACACACGTGCAGGTGAGCGTGACTATGTCCCACTTTCTAATGTTTGTTGTCTGTCCCAACGCTAACCACGGCAGTCATGCATAACGTATAATTTCATGCCGACCCTAGCAGCCCACTACATAGCTTTGCACCATGGCGATTTCGTATACTATATTTAACATAAATATTATTAAAATGGAAATATTTATCATACATCTTATATTGGCAGTAACATTTGATACATAATTTCCTATTCCACAATTGAACTGGAACTATTTCAGTTATGCGTAATTGTTGTTAGTATGGTATCAAATAATTTAACATAATTATTTATAGAAATTTAATAAATTTTATTTTATTAATAATAATAACTTTTATTTTTGCTTCTAGTTAAATGTACGCGTCACCACAATGGATGCCGAGCTGGAGTTTGCCATACAGCAAGCCACCACCGGTAAGCAACTCTTCGATCAAGTTGTCAAAACAATTGGTTTACGTGAGGTTTGGTTCTTTGGTTTGCAATACACCGATTCAAGAGGCGATTCGACATGGATCAAATTGTATAAAAAGGTAAGTAAAGTCGCGTGACTTATTTTATCTTATATGAATTTATAGAAATTAATTTATTTGAAATATTTTTTTTTTCGAAAATTCATTTAAAATTAATTATATCACTTGATTTTGTTAATGATAATTTATTGTTTACGTATTGTCTGACAAAATTTCTATCGAGTGATAAGAATATGAAGTACAAGATACTATACAAATGTAGTTATGAGGAGACTTTTATTTAAAAAAAAATACTAATTTTTATTAATAAATTCAAGTTTAAAATTCACAATTGTAATTTCTTTTCTAAACGAAATGCTTATTACTCCAAAATTAGAAGTAGGTATACTGATTCCGTCTCTGTACTTGTTGTAATTCAGGCCAGGAACATTCTTGAGTACCTTATGGGAACGATACTTGGTATAATCACAATTTTTATGTCAAATTATATGGCAAGTCAAGTTTAATTTATGGCAGTACATTTCAAATCATTGCAAGGAATTAAAACAATATACCTTAGAAAAAAGTAAATGATATTAACAAGAATAAGGTTGATTATTGACGGTAACTTATAGTTCTCCACACCTTTAGAATTTTTACAAGTTTCCATATGAATCTCAACAAAATTTAAGATATAATAACGGCTTTTCAATGCAATAAAATTTTTTGTCACTTAACTGATAATAGGGCTTAGCAACGTGCTAAACACAGTTGCTTGTCACAAATTAATCTATCAATTTCAAACGTGTAACTAAATTACAGGTCATTGCATTGACGATTTGTTCAATTGTGTTAAAACAAACACTGTTCTGTGCCCTTACGCTATCAAAGTAGAAAGGTTAGACTTCCCCTTTATACTTTCGCATTTCTGATATCTGATTCCTTTATTAATTTATATATTTTTTTTCTGCAACGTAAACGTAGAACGTTGCTACAGAAACTAAAGCTTAATAAAAATTTTAAGTTAACTTTAAGTCTCTCAAAAGTCGAAAGTTTTAGATAGTTTTTAGTTCCGCTAGTAATTTTACATAATGCGTCTTGAATAAGTACTCCTTCGCTGCAGTTATGGCCACTAACCTTTCTGAGGTCATCTTTAACGTGCCCTTTTATATTTTTCTTCGTCTTAATATACTTTTTTTTTGTTTCCAATGAAATCTGATTATTGGCCTAATAATACTGTTAAACATATCAATATATTCTTTTAGATTCGGGATTAATAAATATAAGATTCTGATAAATGGAGAGATATCTATATTTACGTTTGGATTGAGTATAGTTTGGATTGAAATAGTATAGTAATTTTATAACTGAAGATACAACTATATGTTACAGCTACTTAAATCACACTTAACGAAAATTTTCTTAACAAAACAGTTAATATCGTCAAAGAATATAAGTTTTTCCAATTCAGTTTAGGAATTCAGTTTAGGTCTATTATTCCCTATTCATGGATTCACATTATTTTTACAAGTCCTATTTCTTCATTTAATTAGAATATTGAACCAACTTAATTGAGTCTTATTTTTTCATCCTACGGTTACTACGGTACTTCTCTTGTTTAAGTAAAAGGGTCAGACAATCCTGCAGCATGTGCTTTGCGGTCTTATTCTCTTTCTAATAAAACCTGTAATTTCTATGCAGTATGCTTCCAGTTTTGTAAAGTGATTTATTGTTACATCACAGTGCCCTAACAAATGTTCTGCTATGTTTTCTAATTTGTTTTTATTTCGTTGCATACAATACTTAAATCATTCCTCTATAAACTATTTTTATTGTGATCGAAATTATCCTAGTATAGCTTTCTTTATTTTTCTTCTTGCTTCTAAATGTATGAAAAAAAATTAACTCTTCCCAAGACACAGATATTCTGGGCCTGAAAGCAGTTGGGCTATCACTTTTCTGTCAAATTATTTGTAACTTTTATTGCTGGAAATTCCCGCATGGTTCGGAAGCCATTAGATTTATATCTGGATATTGTAAAAATAACTTAAGTATAGGTTACGTTATACCGGCGATCCCTTGTGGATCCACTTAGGCCTAATGGCCCATTGTGTTACCGTATATATGGGAAAAACTCAGGGTTGGTTTAAAACCACCTAGAACCTTTGGCGAAGTATAAAATGTGTCAGTTCCTGTAACTGGTCCAGGTCCTCAAGAAAGGGGATTCGCCAATTGTTAAGTCGGCGCCGTGCATGAGCTGGGCAACTTAAGTATAGTAATCTCCATTTTTTTTCTTCCTTCCTAATGTATGAAAAGAAATTACGTTTTCCCAATTCACAGACTTGTTCCGGGCTTAAAAGCAGTAGGGCTTATCACTTTTTTAGCAAATTATTTACAATTTTTATAGCTGAAAGATCCAGCATGGTCTGGAACTCATTAGATTTATATCTGCATATTGTAGTTAAGAATATTAGTCATTCAAAACTACTCCATCAAGTTTATTAATGTTATCTTATAAGAATTGAGAGTTTTTATTTATAGCTGCCTGTCTATTAGTTATGATTTTTATTCTATGATTACGATAGTTACATTTAAGGTAAAATAAACACACATGTCTCTAGGCTATGTTTTGTCTAGTGCTTCCGATTACATCAGTTTGGATCCATAAAGATCTTATCCATAGAATGACCTATTACCCATTAAAAAGGTTTCAAGAACTGTCGGGTCATCGCCAACGACGACCAAGTGGCGTTGTCGACACGTTCCAAAGGGACTCTTCAAGCAGGTTACAACAACAATAATATTAATAATAATAACTACTTGTTGAGAAAGCCCCCCTAACACTGTATTTTACGCAATATTATTTTTATGAAATTTTGCATCTTTGTCTCAATAAAGAAAATAAAGATACCTAATAAGTCCAGTTGTTGTATTCTACTTTTGCTCTTTTTCCAAGAAACTTAAAAAAGTTTTACGCCGAATGAGTTGTAGTTTGTTTTCTTCTCTTTCACATACAGATCGTTTTTTGGTTTGTAACGGTAAAGCGTTTTCTTCTGTTCAAATGGCACATGAGCGTCGTCTTCACACATTGCTACAGATAACTTTATATGCAAAGCTTATTTTATACCATTTATTCGAAATAGTTTTAACAGTTAATAAATAATTCATACAAATTTTATCTAATGCCATAAAACTAGTTTTAATCATTTTCTTTACTCTTAACCTATATAAAATGAGGGTTACCCCATAAACTCCTGTATCCTTTGCACATTTCTTGCTCTTTCTGTCCAATCATTCGTGCCGACTAAGAAATACTTAACCAAAATTGAAATGAAAGCAGGTTATATGTTCGCCAACACAATTTTTACAATTTGGCACATCAGTCACACAAGTATTCACTTATACATAATTTCATCTACTTGTACATGCATAAATTTAACTATAAAACCTGAATGCTTTATATATATTTTTGCACAACTAAAAATACTCGAACGAAACATCAGCCTGAATCACCGGCAATAAAGACCATAAAATATCTGAAACGTGTTAAAAAATATGTCGACAAAAAAACAGCGGATGGACAACATCACAACGACGATAGCAACGAAGACGATGATGCAGATGATATGGTGAGCCACGCATCCGTTTCATTCAAATGTGTTGACGTGACCCCTAAATCCAATAAATGTAGATAGATTTAAACTAGGAATTGAAATGTAGTCATCATTTATTTTTTTTTTTAGTTTTGTTCTAATTTTATTATAGCAATTTTGAATTATTATTTTTATTGAATTTCTCCTTTGTAGTTTGTTAACAAGAATTCAAGAAAATCTCAAAATTTTAATACAAATTAACTCAATATTCGTATCTATTCCAAAATGCAAACCATACAAAACGCAGACTGGTTCGATGCCATTTTCTACTTGGGTAACTTTTTTTTAAATGAAATACAATTTTTATATATTAATATAATAAATATATAAAGAAAATTTATCACTGTACTAATAAATAAATATGATAATTTTTTCACTATAGGTAGTAAACCAAGATGTTAAAAAAGAGAATCCTCTTCAATTCAGATTCCGCGCTAAATTCTATCCTGAAGATGTAGCCGAAGAGATCATACAGGATATTACACTTCGCTTGTTCTATTTACAAGTAAAAAATGCCATATTATCCGATGAAATCTATTGCCCACCAGAAACATCTGTGCTGTTAGCTTCGTACGCTGTACAGGCACGCCATGGTGATCACAACAAGGGCACGCATACCGCCGGCTTCTTGACGAACGATCGTTTGTTGCCACAACGTGTAATTGATCAGCACAAGATGTCCAAGGATGAATGGGAACAGTCAATTATGACCTGGTGGCAGGAACACCGTGGCATGTTACGTGAAGATGCCATGATGGAGTATCTAAAGATAGCACAAGATTTAGAAATGTACGGTGTCAATTATTTTGAAATTCGTAACAAGAAAGGTACGGAATTGTGGTTGGGTGTTGATGCGTTAGGCTTAAACATTTACGAGCAAGATGATAAGCTCACACCTAAAATTGGTTTTCCATGGTCAGAAATTCGTAACATATCATTTTCTGATAAGAAGTTTATAATTAAACCGATTGATAAAAAAGCACCAGATTTTATATTCTTCGCTAGTCGCGTCAGAATTAACAAACGTATTTTGGCTTTGTGTATGGGTAATCATGAATTATACATGCGCCGTCGCAAACCGGATACAATTGACGTGCAGCAAATGAAAGCACAGGCTCGAGAGGAAAAAAATGCCAAACAACAAGAACGGTAAGTTGTAAAGAAAAATAAGTAGAAAATGTGAAAATAATTTTGAGTTTTCTTTTTGGTACGCAGTGAAAAGTTGCAACTTGCTTTGGCAGCACGTGAACGTGCTGAGAAGAAGCAGCAAGAGTACGAAGATCGCCTTAAGCAAATGGCTGAAGAAATGGAACGTTCTCAAAAGGATCTCTTGGAGGCACAAGAAATGATACGCCGTCTAGAAGAACAACTTAGACAATTGCAAGCCGCCAAGGATGAATTGGAGTTACGTCAAAAAGAATTACAATCCATGTTGCAACGTCTTGAAGAAGCCAAGAATATGGAAGCCGTTGAGAAGGCGAAATTGGAGGAAGAAATTCATGCCAAACAAATGGAAGTTCAACGCATTCAAGATGAAGTTAATGCTAAGGATGAAGAAACTAAACGTTTACAAGATGAAGTCGAAGAAGCCAGACGTAAACAAGTGAGTTTATTATGTATAGTATTATTATTCGAATATAAATGATCAATTATTATTATTAGAAATGAGATTATTATTTATTATTATTAGAAATGAGATTTTTATTTATTATTATTAGAAAAAAAGTATTAATTATTATTAGAAATGATAGCTAAAATTAATTATAAAAAATAATAATTGCTAAAAAAAGTAGGTTTTATTTCATGTTTAACTTAAAGATATTTGTTGTAAATTTAAATATTTATAATTCAAACATTTATATTAACTCATAAATAATTCCATTAATATTTTAATTTAAAATTAATTATTTTTAAATAATATAAATTAATATAATTATTCCTCATTTAATGAACTTATATATTTCTGATAAGTATATATTAGTTTAATATATATTAGCCACATAAATAGAAAAAAAATAATTTATATAATAATTAATATTTTATTAATTAAAAGAGCTACTACATTCCTGTGAAATATATATTAGTTGAAAATATATATATTAGCTATATATTGTATATAGAGTAAAAAATAAGTATTTAATATTTTTTAATATATAAAATATTTATATAACAATTTTATTTTGCTCTAGTAATAGATTTTCAATTAGCAAAATATTTCAGTTAAGAGGATACTCCAATTTAGACTTTAATAAATTATATAATTTAAAATATTTACTTAAATATTAAATATTATTAATTAAATAAAATTTTTTTTAATATTTGAGCGAATCCCCCTCTTACATTCATAGATATCTATTAAAAAAATTATTTAATAGATATCAATTAATTAACTAAGTTAGAGAGAGATTGAGAGATTGGAGAGATTTTCCAATTTAGTTTAGTAGTTATTTATAATTATATAGTGTAAACATAAATATTTAATTAATAGATATTAATTAAAGTTCATATTTATAAGCTTAATAATGTGCTACAATAACTTAACTACAAAACCCGTTACTTTTTTAGGCTGAAGCTGCAGCTGCTCTATTGGCTGCTTCAACAACAC